AACCCCAGCTTACTGATGACTCTTTGCACTGACTTCACGGTTGATATTCAGACCGCAGACTAATTTCTTCTCTTCGGGCATATAATTTCAACGAATAAATGTCCCCATCTCTTCAATTACCCACTGTTTTACCGGGAAAGGGAATACTTGTGAAGAAACATCTAATTTACAAGGGTGTCCGGGGCATCAATGGTTACGTTCATCGCACAAACACGAAATGGCATCTTTAACTTTTTAAACCTATAACTTTCAATTTGTTTGCAATGTGCTGCCACCCTGTTTGCATGTTGCTTCATCACGCTTGTACAGCGTTGACTGACACCTGGGCCACACATGACTACAAAACTGGCCGATGTGGAATGCGGGCTAAAGCACAGAACAATCCCAGCAACGAGAGTTTTTTGTTGCGACAGACGCTGCTGCTGCTGCTGCTCTAGCTACGGCTGTTTTAATACACTGTACGTTTTATTATGTATGAATTATAATAATGCCCGTGCACTTTACTGGGTCCCTTTAGGGGGTGGCGGGGGAAACAATTTCCCAAAATGTTTTTTTTTTATTGCCAAAGCAAAAAGAGTTTTAACTGTTGCTTGGATTCACCGTGGGCTGGCAGCAATTCAGGGCAATCAGTCCTCTTGCGTTGCGAAATCCCCGTGTGAGAAAGGCCTCTTACGTTCGCATGCACCAGTAGGTAGAACACAGAAACACAACCAGATGTTCGGATAATATGAATCCGAGCCCTATTAAAGATCACTTAATCCGTAAGTGTTTGTAATGGTCAGTTATTTCCCCCCCCCCCCACCCCCGCCACAAGGAACAAGTTTTGTGCGTTGTGACGGCTTTTCCACGGTGGGGACGCGAGGTTCAAAAGGAGATTAAGATGTGTGCAACGCATTTTAAAGAAAGACAACCCCTTGGTCCCCCCCCCCACCACTTAGCCTCATGGAGTGTTGAGCCAAGTGCAGTTAACAAGCACTTATTAAGGCTTACCAGAGCATACGGGAGGGGGGGGGGGGGGTATGAAGCAGGGGGTAGAACAACGCACCGATTCATCGATTAATAGCGATTCCTAACATGTTGGCAGGGGAGTTGCAAAAGGGGCCGATTGCCCCCAAGCATCGCGCAGAAGAGAACCCCGTGACAGGCCTGGGCTGTTGTTGCTAACGTTTAAGGAGGCCACGCGTGGAATTCTGCCACGGGCCAACAGGAACCTCTGGGTGGTTGCCCTGAGTATCGACACTGGCTTCGAATCAGGCACGTGCGCAAATCAATTGCGTTTCATGTATTTACTCAGATAATGTGTATTTCATGGGATGCTGAGCTGCGGACAGCAAATGGGGGCAGCACTTACAGTACGTGCTCCCAATTTTCTTCCCACTGCTGACCGGCGTGTGGTTTATAACAATGCGAGTTCAATAAAAAATCTCGACAGCATCGGGGATGGAGTTGCCAGCTGTCCTGCTTTGACCCGGACGGTCGGGGAATCGGCACGTGTTCGGGGCGGCAACAGTTGACTGTGTAAAGATCTGGCGGTGTTGCGTTGAACTTGATCACAGTGTTTGATATGCCTAGGCTGATTGGGAAATAAGTCCAAGTTGAGGTCTGTGGAAACGGTGGCAAGCACCCTGTCGGGGGAGCCCTCGTCCAGCGCTCGGGGACTGACAAAAAGTGTACACGCGTAGTAGACGCTGTTGTATCTTGTGGTTGACATCGCCCAGCACCGACGAGAGGCACACTACGATTGACTGCAGAAGTTAAAGCAGAATGGACCAATCTTGATTTGAAGCTTTCGTGACTGCAGGAATCCACGCTCTTTGGTTCTTTCGGTAAAGTCACGTGGGTAGAAAAATAACAGATCACGGCATTTCGATCGCTACACAGGCAATCGTCATGAGCAGTTTTTTTCTTGCTGTGGTTGTCCCACCTGATGACGATTGCTTGTGTTGCGATCGAAACGTCGTGATCTATTATTTTTCTACCCACGTGACTTCACCGAAAGAACCAAAGAGGATAGGATGGGCGATTGAATCAAATTGCGAGTCTTTCCCGCCCGTAGTACACACCTCGTGACTGCCCGCCTCTACCTCCGCTGTGCTGAAGCTAAAATAAAATACCAGGTACGACTCGACGCGTTTAGGATGAGGCCCAAGCCATATTCGTATACCAATTAATTTAGCTACACATGGCCACAAACGAAACTCAGGTCGCTGAAATTGTAGCAGTGGCGGGTGCCACTGCATAACCTATAGATGAAGACAAAGATCTCCTGCTAAGAGTGTTTAAACAATTGCCGATGGTGAGCACCTATTAAGACTGGCACGGCGCACAAGGGGATGGTGTGGCCTGTACCACGTCCTAACCGCCTTCGTCTCCCCAGCGCTGATGTTTACATATTGCACAATATACCAATTTAAGGCCGAGTTTCCCTAGGGAAGCCCAGAATAAATTCTGATACCACTCTTCAGCACAGTACTGTAAACTCATTCCTGCGTCTGCGTCAGTTGCCAAATGTGAATAACTCGCCTCCTATTTCTCTGAAACGTTGTAAAAAAAATGGAATGGCATTCTGGTGTCTGACTCTGCCCGTCTATTGCCTCTCCTTCTACTCCCCCCACCACCTGCCCTTGACACGCCTGCCCAGTCACCCCAAATGACATCCCGACCATCATTCCCAGCCTAACTCCTTCCATCATTGATCCTCTGCCTGCCAAACCCATCCATCACTGCCTATCCACTCTCGCCCTTTACATCACAAGCTTCATTAATGCCCCTCAGCCAGTGGTGGATCCAAGGGGGTGGGGGGATGCCGGTGATGGCCCTGCCTCACCCCACTACCCATCCCACTAGAGACCCCAAAAATGTGTATTTTATTGATATTCACAAGAGACAATACACTGAATGCTTATTGAGCAATGCAAGGCCCTATTTTAAAAGCTTGAAATTTCAAGACTCCCTGCCTCCTTCCCCCCTCCCCAATCTTCTTGAGAATGTTCTAGATCTGCCCCTGCGCCTCTAAGCCACGGCACTGCTGCCGTCAATCCCATCCTGAGAACAGAAAAAAATCGCAGCGGACCTCAACATCCACGTGAGCTTCCCTGCTACCTCAAAGCTCCGGTTCTGTGGGCAGCGGCTTAAAAAGTGATCGCCGCGCACCCCTTTTAAACGCACCTCCAGCCACGGTCTTCGTGATCCGTCATCAATCTGGCTTCGACCAAGGCCACACCGCTGAAACCCCGCTCCCCCCTGCGTATGCTAAATCACGTTCTTCTCCCCTCAGACGTGCATCCTTCTCGCTTCGAGTTCTCCGTGGTGCTTTCAACACCATCAACCACTCCATCCTCCTTAAGCGCCCTCCATAACTATCCCAGTGACCCCGGGACACTTCTCTCCTGTTTCTACTTTAACCTCTCAAAACCTCTCCTTCGATATTTACCTACAAGGACTGTCTTCAAAAACCCCTGTGCTACGGTGTCACAAAAAAGTTCCACCCTTGATCCCCCGGCTCTTTTCAATAGATCTGCTCGCACTCTGGGCAAAAAAAAAATAATCTCCCGTTTCAATGTCGAGCATCACCTGTGCGCCGATGACACCCAGCACTGCATTGCGATTGACTCCATGAACCCAACCCAACTTCTTCCTCTCACATGCAGCCTGCCTTGATGCAGTCTCATCGAGGAATGGGTCTGTAACTCTCCCCAGCTAAGTGTGGCCAAAGCTGAAGGCCCGTCCCTGTCGGCACATAGTCCACTCTTGGTAAAGACTCGGGTTTGACTGTGTATCTTATCTTATCATACATTTATATAGTGCCTTAACGAAAGGCGCTGTACAGTGAACTATGGTACAAAATAGTTGGCGAGATGAAACGAGATGAGTGGATGGGATATGTGTAAAATGAGGCGGTGGTGGTGAGGATGCGTGGAATAAACGAAGATGGAAATGAGATGAGTGGATTGATGATGGGTGACCATGGGGAGTTGGGCACAGGGAAGTGGCAGATTTGTGCCACTTCCCAGTAACGATCAAACAAAATGTGACTTGACTAAAGTCTTGACATTACATAGGCAGAGAGTGCGCAAGACATTGATGGGTCCATAGCACAACACACTAGTCATTGCACTACTGATCCCCCCACACACAAACAGTGATCTAGCAGTTATATTGGAAATATCTCTCCATGAAATTATACATATAAAAAAAATAATCCTGTGTGAAATGTATAATGCATCCTGCAGTGGCACATGCCCTCTAAGACATGATTGTCAGCACATATTCATGATACTCCGCATTAATATTATACACAGTACGAGTCACAAAATAACACATCGGCGCATATTTACAATAAAAATGTGCCGTTTCTATTGTCTCCATTGAATGAACTATAAAATACAACTTGACTTTGCTTCATATCGGGTCTAAATGTGACCGCATTTCAAGGTGCTGTACACACACACAGTGGGCATAATTATTTATTGACAAAAGCAACCCATCAGAGGCTGGAGGGAGCCGGGACAGGGAGTCTACAGCACGGATGGCTGGGCCAAGGGAATTCCAGAACATGGGGGCATCGGTGGAACCGTTCCAAAAAGAAAGCACATTGAGGCAGGATGTGAGAGTGCACAGCGAGGATTGTTTAATTGAGTCAATCACAATGTACGGCTGGCTTTCATCAATGTGGAGACGATGGCTGACATTACAAATGAAAACAATCATTTCCACATCTCGCCGTGGTGGCGAGATGTTATCTCCCTCGCCTGGTATGCAGGAGGACGTGAGTTCGATCCCGACCCTGACGCCTTCTGTATATTTGAAGTTTGCATGTCTCTCTCCCTGTGGTGAGATGTTATCTCCCTCGCCTGGTATGCAGGAGGTCGTGGGTTCGATCCCGACCCTGACGCCTGCTGCTGTATATTTGAAGTTTGCGTGTTCTCCCCATGGTCGCCTGGATTTTTCTCAGATTCCTCCGTTTTTTTCCCTCAACGATTATAATCAACATGCGTTTAGAGTATTTGGCTGTGATAAATGTCCACGTGATGAACCACTTTGTTGAGCTGTCATTTGTGGCCAGGTCGCTTCTGAAAAAGAGCTAATCGCTCAGTGAAATAAAAAAAAGTGCGTTTTTAAATATATTGGGTACAGCAGCAGGCCAGGCATATGGGCTTTGTGTGACACCATAACTTGCGGCCGTGCAATCTGCTGCTGCCAGACTGTGGTGTATGTGTGTATGTTGAATTTCTTTCACACCGTACGTAGCCAATCGTGACAATCGGAGGTGCAAGGAAGATCAACAAACTAAACACAAAATGCAGTTTTAAAGAAATGCCTTTTCAATGTAGATTTAAAAGTGCATCGTTAAAGTCACTTCCTAATATCGGAAGGAAGAGCGTTCAAGACGGTTGTAGAAGAGCACGTGAAATTGCGCGATGCGGTGGCCCTCTTTGTTCGCCGTCTAGCCAAAAGCTGCTGCGAGGAAGACCGCAGTTTGCGTGATGGTTTATGCTCCTTGACGAGATCAGCGAGGTATTGTGGTTGATTTGTGGCAAGCGCTTTGTGTGTACAGAGTGCGACCTTACAATGTGTTCGTGTGCAGCATGGGCGTGTGATTTGGTCACCTGTTTGGAGGTGGATGTGGAATCGCAACAATCCCCTCCATCGTAGTGGCAGTAGGCGTTGTTGTTCATCGGATCGCAGTAACCATCTCCGACCCATAACTAAACACCACACAAGTGCACACACAGCCCACATAAAGATTAAGAATGATAATAAAGATAATGATGCTCTTTAGTTTTTCAGCAGAGGCCACCCTGAGTCTCTGGAAGGAGTGGAACAATTACGCGAGTTCATCAAATAATGTTGATTCTTAAACTCATGACACATGCATTGAATTGTGTGTGGAGAAAATCGACGTGTTTCTATTTACATGTATTATATATATAATATCTAGACACGTTCGGGCACGTTGAGGGTGATTTGGTCATGGATTAAAACTTGAGGATCTGCTTACAGCAGGGTAAAGAAATAACGAGCTCGAACATTAATTCAGTGGAACTTTTCCAGCCATATTCCATCGTGCATTCAAAAGTGCACGTGGAATTTTACTCACACGAAAGGGTTTACATTTATTGAGCGCTTAAATGTGACTGCACCTCAGAGTAGTGCACAAAAGGCATAAATAAAACGAAGTGGGAAATAATGGCACAGACCAGGAAAAAGAGATCTAAAGATAAAAGAAAAATGAAGATGTAAATTCCAGATTCGTATGCAGTTTAGAGGGTATTGCAATTCAGGGTCATGAATCTTGACTTAAAGCTTTCGCGACTGCAGGAATTCATATTCCCTGGGTCTTTCGGCAAAGTTACGTAAATAGGTTCAAAGAAAATAGAAAAACGACGTTTCAACCGTAACACAAGCGTTCGTCATCAGGAAGAGGGGGCTAGCTTCTAAAGGGAAACTGTTTATAAAGGTTTGAAATGGGCGTAGCCCAAATGTCAGCAGCCAATGATAATGTGAGTGGTGGGCAGCGACCGTGACGGTGGTGGGTTTTCCACCAATCAAAGGGCTGCCAAGTAAAAATTAGCATGTTAATGTTAAATCGTTGAGCGGCCTCCACGGTAAAATTTCTCACTTTAACACAGCCACCTCGCTCGCCGAGCTCGAGGTGGCTGCTCTGCAATCTACCATTAACAAGCTAATCTCTCACTTTAACACGCTAATCTCTCACTTTAACACGCTAATCTCTCACTTTAACACGCTAATCTCTCACTTTAACACGCTAATCTCTCACTTTAACACGCTAATCTCTCACTTTAACACGCTAATCTCTCACTTTAACACGCTAATCTCTCACTTTAACACGCTAATCTCTCACATTAACACGCTAATCTCTCACTTTAACATGCTAATCTCTCACTTTAACACGCTAATCTCTCACTTTAACACGCTAATCTCTCACATTAACACACTAATCTCTCACTTTAACACGCTAATCTCTCACTTTAACACGCTAATCTCTCACTTTAACACGCTAATCTCTCACTTTAACACGCTAACCTCTCACATTAACACACTAATCTCTCACTTTAACACGCTAATCTCTCACATTAACATACTAATCTCTCACAATAACACGCTAATCTCTCACATTAACATGCTAATATCTCACTTTAACACGCTAATCTCTCACATTAACACGCTAATCTCTCACTTTAACATAGCCACCTCAGGGCACTGGCCGTGGAGGCCGCTCAACGATTTAACATTAATATGCTAATTTTTACTTGGCAGCCCTTTGATTGGTGGAAAACCCACCACCGTTGTGGTCGCTGCCCACCACTCACATTATCATTGGCTGCTGACATTTGGGCTACGCCCATTTCAAACCTTTATAAACAGTTTCCCTTTAGAAGCTAACCCCCTCTTCCTGATGACGAATGCTTGTGTTGCGATCGAAACGTCGTAGTTTTTTGTTATTTTCTTTGAACCTATCTAGGTTATTCAGCGTCATGGTTTGGCTCAAGAATCGAATATGAAAAATAGTGGTGAATATAGCGGCCTCTAGTGGCTGCGGGGGTCATGTGAACACAAATACGAATAGAAAAACAGTGATTGTTCCGCGCACGCTTTCGATGGGTTGCATTGTGAGCTTAACAATCAATATTGATTGACGTTACACCTCTTAACGTGCAAGTATACCAAATGTATTGCAATGAGTATTGCTTATTATCGCAATGAGTATTGCTTATTATATATACACCCTCTAAATCTTTGCATTTTTCTTCTTTGGTTCTTTCGGTAAAGTCACGTAGAATGGGAATAAAATAATAAAATAAAATAAGACAATAAAATTCTCACGACGTTTCGGCCACAACACAAGTAGCCTTCATCAGGTGAAATAACATAACTGTCGGAACGACAGTGCTCCATTTTATTGCAAGAAAGGTAAAGCTGAGCACCTGCATTTATTTGCAAATGCCACGACTGCCAGAAGGGCCTAAAATTGAGGGAGGGCCTACAGAGCCCCCCCCCTCTCAATGGTTTCTGGCCTCATCCATGCTGGCCAGATGCCTTTGATGATAATAGTTTTGTTGGTTTCTGCGTTTAATTTATACCACAGCTACTGCACAGGCACAGGCACACACACACACAGCAGATTGCTTGTAATTACTTATAACCACCTGCAGAATTTTTCTTTGTACTGCAATCTGCTTTAATTAAAACGCGTTGTTTAAAGAATTAACGACGGGGTTTTTTTTTGGCTGCAGGTTTTATTTCTTTCTCTTGGGCAAGCCGCTGTAACCTCAATCTAGCCCAGCCTTTGCAGGAGAGGAAGAAAAAAGAAATTGTTCTGGATTTTCTGTTGACTTTGTAAAAAAAGCCGAGCTGGAAAGGGAAGTCTGGTTCAAACACATATCTCATCTGTGGCAGCAACTGGGCACGTCCACAAATGCAAACACCCGACCAAGCATGCGTTCGTATAAAGGGCGTCCATAACGGTGTCATCCATGATTAAGATGCTTCCACCGTGGTGTAATGGTTGGCACAACTGGGCATGCGATCCAGAGGGTCGGCTGGTTCGATTCCATCTCCCGGCGCGGTAGTTGAAACGATGCAGCAAATTTCTCAAATCCCGACATCCCCCCCCACCCCCGCCACCCCCCTCCCACCCCAATCTCATTCAGGAGAGGATGGCGGAAGAATTGTAGAGATTGAACAAAAAACACATTAACGCGTTAAAAGTTAGGAAACTTTTAAATGGAACGAATTTCGAAGGATTATTGTTGCAAAATATATTGGATTATCTACGAATTGTGCCCAGAACTAGACTGTTAAAATGTAACCGCATAAACAATCAGATATGGTTCACGTGCACTTGCTTGATGGATCATTACATCGCAAGATCATGAGAGGTGATCGCTGCTTGGGGAAACCTTCATACAGCAGTGAATTGATCATGGCTGATGATGATGATGATGAAAAAGTGGAAACGTAAAAAAACTGCGTTGTGATTGCCTTGTCACTACTGATTCAATCTCACGCACTTTGAGATTGTGAGCGGGTATACAATGACAGTAGGATTCAATTCATGGACAAAATCAAATAAGTGATACGATTACTTGGGCCAATCAAAAATAATTTTATATTGTCATCGGTCACGCAAAACACATGAGCAAATGGAATTCTTATTGAAATGCAATTTTGGACTGCAGCATTTTTGTGTTTTACATTACACAATTCCAATTGTGGCCACAATGTAATAATTTCGAGGCATCTGTATCTGTGAGCCATGTCAGCAGACTTTATTAATTTATGACATTAAAAATCCAACGCTGGACTCCCCGTAGCCTAATTCGGGTGATCAAAGTGCAGTAACCTATCTGACAAGCCGACACACATTATGTTGTTAATGAAAGCCAGACACAGCAAGTGCTATTTTATTATCACTGTAGATATATATAATATGCTCCATGTTGCAATGGTTAGCACAGCTGAAATATTGGTTCGAATTTCTTAAATTCCCCCCCCCCACCTCTGTCCATCCCAGCAGTGTGAATGGGTGCACGGTGAGGCCACGTGTTACAGAATCAAATGTGGGGCAACTTCCAACTCTTACAAGACGCCTGGCCGGCATGGAAGAGTAGGCCAAGACACCCACGAGAGGGGCTCTCCAAAGTGAAGGCCGTTCTGCCAGCTGTGGTGGCGTTAGCAAGAAATTGCAAGGTTTCACCTTAACCTCTATAAAAAAAGGCAAAGATCCCCCGAATAGTCTTAACAGACAGTTGGGGCAAGTGCTGTTAGTGAGCACCTATGAATGCCACAACGGCACACGAGGGGGTGGGTGGCCAGCACCATGCCCGGCCGCTTTTGTCTCTCGAGTTGTCAAGTTTACACACCGAATCAGGTACTCATTTGAGGCCCAGTCGACCTAGAGAATGCACAGAACCAGTTCAGATAGTCATCACTGGTGTTGGCCGTGAGCGGGAATCCAATTTGGGTTGCCGGGGTTGGTAGCGCAGTGCGCTAACCTTTATATATACATATACACACCTGCTTGTCAGTTTTGATGTAGTTTCCTTATTCACCAAGGTTCCTGTACCTGACACCATTGCAATCATTGAAGACTTGGTTCATCAAGGACTAAACACTGAGGTACCCCCCCTGGTGAGACACTGTTTAACCAATACATACTTCACTTGGAATGGAACTTTCTACAAACAAACTGAGGGCACCCCAATGGGCTCCCCCCTTTCTCCAGTTATAGCTAACATTTTCATGGAGAAATTTGAGACTGACGCCATCCAGACTGCCACTCTGCGCCCAACCTTATGGAAGAGGTACGTGGATGACACTTTTGTCATCTGGCCACATGGCCGGCCTGCTCTAGACCAATTCTTCGACCACATCAATTCCATACACCCAGCCATCAGATTTACCATGGAAGTCGAAATAGATGGCAAGATACCTTTTATGGATGTCCTAATTAAAAAGAGACCTGATGGTTCAATGAGCCACTCTGTCTACAGGAAAGCTACCCATACGGATGCTTATCTGAAACCGGATTCCCACCACCATCCATCACAGAAGAATTCTCTCATCAAGACTCTGTATCATAGAGCCCAATGCATATCCGACCAGGAACACATAAGCAGTGAACTCAAGCACGTACACCAAGCTCTTAGGGCTAATGGTTACTCCGACTATACAATCCGCAAAGCTATCACTCAAACCATGAAGAAGAACCCTCTTGAGGAGCCTTTCAAAACCATCACTTTACCCTACATTGCTGGGATCACAAAAAAGATCTCCAAAATCTTGAATAAACACAAGATCCAGGTCCGTTTCAACACATTACATAAAATCCGTGATCTGGTTCCGTCTGTAAAAGATGTGATTCCGGACATACAATACCCTGGTGTCTACAAACTAAGTTGCCTCTGTGGTAGTAGTTACATTGGAGAAACCAAACGCCATGTCTCGGACCGCATTCGTGAACACAAAGCAGACCTTAAACATGGTAGGACCAACACCTCGGCCGTAGCAGATCATTGTTCTAATTCAGTAGGCTCACATGCTATTGACTTTTCCAAGACAGAGGTTCTTTGTAAGCCATCTGGCTTCCATGAGGCTATCCACATATACAAGCACAGAGACAATTTCAACCGAGAAGATGGATTCTATCTTAGCAATCATTGGAAAGATTTGATAAACCATTTCAGTTCTTAATTGATTGTTCACGCTTACAGTGGCTTTCAGACAGCATACATTATAAAAAATTTCGTGTCCCCCCTCCTCTTTTCAAAATATAGATGGACTAGTCCTGGGTAAACTGCCAAATCGCTGCGCGTGACGCTAACGTTTTTTATAAATAAATAAATGCGGCGTTTAAAAATAAATTTATGCAAACCAACACACCTGAAGATGACCGTTTGAGTTATGGTCGAAACGTCGTGAGAATTTTTTTATTGTTTTATATATATTTTATTATTTTGTTGTTTCTCTTCAACGTGACTTTACCGAAAAAACTAAGAATATATATTTCAAGCTGTTTGAATTTTTGTTTCAGTTCACGAGCAAGGTGAAAACGGAGCATCGTACTGTACTAAAATGGCTGGCAACACTTGGACGCTCGGCCCTTAAAGTTGTTTTGTGTTCGAGTTGCGAGCAAAGGAAAGAAGTTCAGCGTACGTACGTACATACATACAAAGGGTTCTTACCTCGCAATTTTGGAAGCAGTAGATGGCATGTGGTGGGGGGTGCCACTCCTTCTTCCCCGTGCAGACAATCTCCTGTCGATTCACGAGAACATTTCCGCATCGAATCATTTACTACCCATGATAGATAAAAAAAAAACTCCTTGGGCTTGGGTCGAGTAAAATGCCACACAATGTGTGTCGTGGACCCACATCCACCCGACGCGGACGATCAGTAAGGTTTGTCACGCGAACATCACGTGCCAATTTGTCACTGCTTCAGCCCTGCCCGGTTGCGTGTTTGGAGAGCAAACACCCCACAACGTATTGCAATCGAGCACGTCGTTTCCACTGGCGATTGCAACCGGCATCATCAGGCAGAATTTCCAGAAGTCTCAAGATGTCAACCTGTTTTCGATCTTAAATAGGGAAAGGTGATGCAATCACTGTGCACCTACAGTTAGAGGGACCCGAGGGGATGGGGGGAGGGGCGCAGGGGGCGTTAATGTCTTTGTATATATGTGTAGTGACATGGAATGGGTCACTATGTAGCATAGTGCGGGTTGCTGGCAGAGAAGGGGATCTGCAGTTGCAGCAGCCCTGTCTGTCAAAAAGTCACGTGATAAGTCAGAGAGAGGGATGTAGGGAAAAGGTGATAAGAGAGGGCACGTGAGGTAAGCTCGGGAATCCGCGAGTAGGTTCTAGAAAGGGGGCGTGGCCGGGGCGGAGCGAGGCCTCGCCAGCAGGATAAAAGGGGACCCTGAGCGAAGGCTCGGGGCTGTCGCAATCCCGTCGGGCTGCCAGCTGTCCTGACTGACAGTTGTAGTTATCCCTTGTAACTTGTGAAGGCTGTTAAAAGAATAGAGTGCCTCCTACTCCTAGTGTCCTCAAGTTGCGTCACTAAATATGTATATTGTTTTGCTACGTTCTGCAACTGCTGGTAATGACACCATTGCTGCCACTACCACCGCGCAGCTTTAAACAGGTCTTGTGTGTCTGCTGAACTTCTTTCACATTATTCATATTCTTAGCTCTTTCGGTAAAGTCACGTTGAAGGGAAACAATAAAATAATAAAATATATATAAGACAATAAAAATTCTCACGACGTTTCAACCATAACACAAACGATCGTCATCAAACCGACACACCTGATGACGATCGTTTGTGTTATGGTCGAAACGTCGTGAGAATTTTTATTGTTTTATATATATTTTATTATTTAATTGTTTCCCTTCAACGTGACTTTACCGAAAGAGCTAAGAATATTAATTACTGCAGTCACGAAAGCTTTAAATCAAAATTATTTCACATTGTACCGTGCTCATCGGAGGTGCGGATGAGAGAACGGCCCTCGAAAGCGGATTTCACAGAGATACTGTACCTCTGATATTAGAATTGATATCAATAATGGATCACTCGATGCATCGTAAAAGCGACTGCTGTTGCATGTTGTCACGAAAGTAAAGAACTCTACTTGAGTGTTTTTGGTCTGTTTTAAAACCATTTATCCTCCCCTTCATAACAGAGATGCAGGCGTGCAATGAAAACGTAAATACACCTTCATACCGACACATAACAGGAGCCTGCCGTGATTTAAACCAACGCTACAGCTGTCTAAAGCCAACTATAAAACAAATCAAGAAAGCTTGGTTTCAAGAATGCAACGCCACTGCTGCTCAGACTAAAAAAAACATCCTCGCAATGTCAACACAAGGTGACATGGCTCAGCAGCAGCAGTGCATTTGCCGCTTGTTTGCAGATTTTCGCGCTTCAAGCCCATGGACCACCCTGGTTAATCATGGTTGTTTTTACTGACCGAAGGAATATGCACCGTTTGTTTCGCAGTGGACCCTAAACATCCTTTGAGGTCACACAAAAAAAAGAGGTTATGTGTGCACTGGCACGTCCAAATTTCATGAAAATTCTCACGATGTACCTCATTGAGAAAATCCACATCGCAACTCTCGCGCTGGCGAGTAAACCTGCATCAGGGCACTGGGATTGTTGAGACGAGGTGCGAGTGATTGTAAGGCGCTTTCAGCTGCTGAGGCATTTAACCCTTTCCCCGTGTCTGAGATGTCTCCAAGTTACAGGGCGGGGTTCCATCCACCGCCCAATCTCGGAACGCGCAAGCAGTTCAGTGTTAATTTTATTAAAAGAGGCATAGCGCCACTGTTTTTAAATACATTGCAGAGAACTGTAGCGACACAATCTCACTCTGTGATAGCTGGCGCAAAACTGTGCCACATGCCCTCCCGCATGGCTTTTACATGTACGAACGTCATCGGAGCGGAATCGAAAGCACACGTGCGTCAACGGAATTGAATTGGGAAGTACAACTGATGGCGTACACGTTACATATGCATACGTCATCGGAACGGGAAAGGGTTGGGGGGGGGTGTGCCCTCCGCACGCAAATCCTCATGCGCGGCTTCAAGAAAGGACCGACCTCAACTTTGGTGGGGAGTGTCCAGTATGGCAGCGACAGGGCGGTGACGTTCTCCGGGAGGGTGACATTTTCAGGGAGCAAGACGGAGTCGCTCTGTGGGATCAGGCAGGTCGGCTTGCACACGGATCCTGGCAACAGGGAGAAACCAAACCATCACCACCGCCATCGTCGTCATCACGTGTAGATTTTGAACTGCTTCTTGTCTTTAGTTTGTTGTCTTTACCCCCCCCCCCACTTCCGATTAGCATGGTTGGCTACGTGCAGTGCGAAAGAAGTTCAACATACATATACGTTCGCTGTGACGAAGCGCTTGCCATTGGATGACTCCGAATCTGTAGTGATCGAGATTTCGCGTCTGCATGGCGCCCAGACTCTGGAATTCGCTGCCCTCAGAGCTCAAAAACTCGGAGTCAATGCAGCCTTCTAAGTCTCGGCGGAAGACCCATCTGTTTAAAAGGGCCTCTCTCAAGTCCTTCATCTTGTCCCTTTAGTCATTCTCTCCCTTATTACTTGTCACGTAGTTATTCATCTTTTACACGCTTGGTATTCAGAGATCAAATTGATTAACGGCACTCTATGAATCAAAATGATCATAATTACGACTGACTGTTCCCCTGAACGTCACTCATTGATTCCGGTGCTCAAGTTGAGGACTCGATCCGCCAGACCGCTTTGTCTCATCCACACCACCACACTGCACGATCCTCTTTCTGCCTCTCTCCTCGCGTCTGATTTGACTTGAGAATTGTCTTGCATTGCCGCCTCTTCTCCCCAAAAGCTCTTACATAACCTCGCTCAATTCAAGCAGCGTGTTGCTTATTTGGCGTGGTTTGTCGTTGGCCACCTGACGATTTGGGCCGTTTGGGCCTGGTGCTCATTGATTGCGTGATGACGAAAAATAAATGTAATGAAAAAATGTCGGGGGCCCATTGACAACGCTTCACAACAGCAAACAAGACCACACGTGCAAACGTGCCTGCCACGTAACTATGAGCGCCAAATTGTGTCATGAGAACATTTGTGTTTGGAACATACTATTAAGTAGAAATGTATCAAATGCATGTATTTGAGATGCGGTCATATTTAGATAGTTTGCAAATCCAAATTGTGCTCTAAAATGTACAGGTCTCTTTTTTTGTTAGGAAACTTTTGCTACAGGGCAATGTTGGTAATAGCACAATGATGAACGTGAATTGCAACGCGCCATAATCAAAGCCACGGAGATTACATGCAAAACAAAGCCTTTCTTGACATAAACCCAGTGAGAGGAAACGGATGTTAATTGTAGAAGAGGCACCACAATTTCCCAGGTTTTTTGCGAAGTAACATTGATGAAGGAGCACATTCTCAAAATCTAGCATTCGCTTTAATCAGACACTAATCACTTCAGTAGATGATATTGACGAATACGTAAATGATAGCCTTGAACTCCAAAATGTATCTCAGTGATAACTCTTGAGTTGGAGTGACGTGTCTCGTGAACATGACAGTGGGCAGTTCCTCAAACTGAACATTTACATGATTTAAGTTAAATTAATGTATTATTCAATATTCGTGTGAAGTCACCAGTGCTGTAATGATTCATCACCCCCCCCCCCCCGCCCCCCACCACCACCGTTACGATTGCATGAAGAATATTAAAGAATCTCAATTCGATTAAAATGCTATTTACTTATTTTACATTTTGGTGAATGTAACAAGCCACTACCCAGTAAATATGGAAGGTTGGGCCAACAATTGTTCAATGGTTCCAACCACATTCCAACGTTGGCCCAACGTTGCAAGTTGACCCGGTGGTGGACAACAGAGCTACTGTGAATACACCACTTACATATGGAAAGAAAACCCACCAGTTCTTACACACGTGATTCGATGCACATATCATCATGAGCTTAAGCATCCATTTTTGTTGTTGTTATTGATTCACTTATGCATCTCTTTTTAGACCTCTAAGAGCAGACGGGCTCCAAACCGGTGGGTCTGAAAACCACTGGATGGCCTCCGCAAGGCCGGTGGGGGCTGAGCGGCCCCCCGCCCCCCCCCCCACCCCCCCCTGCGCCCCCCCCCGCCCTGCCCTCCACCGGCCTTCCCCCCCCCCCCCGCCCGGAGATGGTGTGCCAAACTGTTAAGAATTTGGACGATTTGGAGAAGATTTTATTTTGAAACACAAAATATGATATGATTACGATAAAGAATGTTGACGGTTGACGTTGGTACGCAGGCCCAAAAAGTTGGGAATCACCGCTACTCTACAGGAAAGTGGAAGTGCTGTGTATGCACTCTTGTTAAACTTAAATTAAAGAAAAACTACAATACACCAGTGACGGATTACACCATCAAATTCCTGGGCAGTTTAGCACAGATGGGAGGAGGGGAACACGACTAGATTGATGGAAAAATTTACTCTACTAATAATCACCAGCGAATAACTTCATTATTAAATCAGCTATCAGGAACATGGGTCCATCCCAGCTTAGTTCAATAATAAACTTGGTAAAAGATCAACGGGGAGGAGCGAACAGAGGATGATCCAGACACAAAACTCCCCCAAAAAGCTTAGTACGTTCCACAGCTAATTACAAGCATGTGCCCGGCTTAATAAGAGATACTGTGGAGTGAGAGTGAAAAGAGTAAGCATCCATTGTGAATCGAGAGAGACAAAGTCTTTATTCGTGAATGGACCGCGGTTGACGGTGGCTGTCATTGTCACGTTTACACTGCAGCCAACCTGAAGCATTCGGATCGATAATAAACACACTGCCATTTATTCATCCACTGCTGGATGAAGGCCTCCCCCCACACGCATCTTGCACATGGGGGGGTTGTTGTTTCACCATACTTCACCACAACCGAGGGCACACGGGTTGGTTAGGGCGAGGCCTATGGGACGTTTCAGATGTCACTCGTCACTGATGTTAGCGGTGACCGGGAATCAAACCGAGGCCTCCGAGTTCGTAGTGCAGTAAGGCTAACCGCCACGCCACTGCTCCAGCCCCAGTGTGTTCCCGCGACTAAACGTTGTGCAAAACTTGGCGACGCTTTGCTTGCATTGTACTAAGTGTAGCCGCCAATAGAACATTCTTTTAACCAGGTTTACAACCTATGTTTTTTTTTGTCTTCTTCCAACATCCATGTATTAAAATAAAAGTGTTTTTCTGTTAGTGTGCATGTTGAACTTCTTCTGCACCGTATCTAGCCAACCGACGGGCACGGTTGGCTACGGACGGCAGCCAACCGATTGGTTTTTGGAAAGCTAATTGGATAAAAAAATGTGTACGTCCGTAATGTTTTATTGAATATGTGCAAATAGGATGGAGTGAATGCATTTTTAAGTGATAATCAGGAAGCTCCTGTAAAAACACAGCAAAAATCTCACCCAACTCGATGCCAGTGGTGGCCGCTCCAGACAAAAATCGTGTTTCGGGATGTGGCAAGTTACCCGTCTTATTCAAATAATAAAAACTTGGATACATTTGACTGAATATCCATTGCATTATTTCTCCTACTTTTGAACCGCATTTATTTACGCGTGTGCTTGATTGCGATGTTTTTGTGCATGGCCTTGGCTGTCTTGTCCCTGTCCAAGCCTCTACATATGTTTCGCATTGTATACATGTGTAATGGATTCAACTGAGTCGCAGACGTAGACTTGGAGGCAACACATTTATTCAGTTCCAACACACGGGATAACTTTCCCCTTAGAATAACAACCTATGGTGGTGACCACCAGGCTAACTACACTAGTTACAACGTAACTGCTACTACGGACCGGGACCAACAGCTTCAGCCCGGGTCCACGTGTTGGAGACTCATTGAACAGAGAACGTAGACGAAGATTTCTTCCAGGATGAACAACAACGCCGATCCCTCTCGGGACCCGGCTTATATTCTTCTGTGGCGTGGCCGGCACCACCTTCCAGAATCTTCGGGAAGGATTTGGGTCCCAATCACGTGACAATCCCTAGCCCCCTCTTGGGGCCCCTTTGTAGACTTAACTGGTCACGTGTCCTCCCGGCTCAATCAGAATGGGGTAAACTTATCCTACGGCCGGCACTCACACACCCTGTCCTGTAGGGCTGGCACTGCATGCTGAGCGTGGTGCCACCCAGCGCTATCAATCAGCGCTCACCGGGCCCCTCTAGGGCCGGTACTGCACCCACACCATAGTGGCATCCGCGATGTCGTTACACCGCACGCCGTGCCTCTCTAAGGCCGGCACTGCACGTTGACATCCCGCGATGTCACTACACATGCATACTGTATGGGACCATTTCACCCGTAACAAGATACAGAATGATAAAAAAAAGGTTTTAGTCGACAGTGTCCTGTAGTGAATAAGTTGTAGATTTTTTGTAATGCATGTATCCACGTTTGATTACGTGCTCGTTCCGCTCGCGTGCGGTGTGGTAGTGTAGCAGTTCGCGCACTGCGCTACGAACTCGACAAACCGAGATCGATTCCCGCTCATGGCCAACACGAGTGATGATTATCTTAACAGGTCCTGGACCTCCTCTAGGTCAACTCAGCCAAAAACTAGTACCCGGTGCGATGTGTAAACATCACCACTGGGGAGACAAAGGCTGGTCAGCGCGGAGGCACCATGTACAGTGTGCGGTGCGGGCTCCCGGTGAGGGAGCGAGAGGTAGTGTCAGCCAGCCAGGGTTACGTTGGGGCATGATACACTGGTTGACCTGCCGACACGTGACCGGATGATATTGGAGGGGGGCCACCGGTGGATGGGGGCCGGTGGGCGGTCACGTGGTTTAAATGACATCTCGAGGAGCCTTCGGGAAAGAGCTCGAGAGATCTAGAAGGTAGGCGGAGCCAGCCCCAGCCCAGGCCGATATAACGGGGGCCCCGTGAGGGGCTCAGGGTTCTTCGTGATGCTGGCGATGAAGATCCACGTCGGGTAAAAGAAGCCTCTAGCCACGCAGTCCGGGACCCAGCTTGTGGTCCGGGCCGGGATAGCAAACCGTGTCTAGTTCTGCCGTAGCGTGGCTAGATGAGCATTCAACACCCAAGTGTAGGTTGTGTTATGTTACATTGATTTATTGAATAGTGTTGCTCCTAAGACAACGTCTGTGACTCAGTTGGACTCACTACAACTGGTGTCGGAAGTGGCCAACTT